CTCGCCAGGATCGTTTCATGAGGTTGCGGCACTTTTGCAAACGGTTTAGAAAATAAAACTACAAATGAGGCACCAGGGACATAAAATCCAAGAATAAGCCATGATACTGTGCTGTGGTGTCTCCGCTTCTATGACCACGAAATACCCTCAAATCGTCATTGACGTCAGATTCCAATGGCATTAACGACACAGTTTAAATGTATTTCCGAGGCAAAATTGGTTCCGGTTGCCTATAGTGTTAGTTTTAATTTTAAGTGATTCAATTCAAACTTTAAAATAAGCATGTCATCAGTACTGCTCAAAAATAGTCTGAAGGATGTTTCAACAGTATTACTGTTAGTGGAATATCAACATTGATTTTGAAAACAACATATGGCCAGTTCAATCAAACATGCTATAATTTGCCCAGAAATATTGCGCCGACATGTTTAAAATTCATTTGAGTGCTGAACCTACCAAACATTGTTGGTTAACCGCCATTTGATTAGATAAAATTGATAATTGATGAGAACAGCGAAAGTCATTATACAAAAGTCTGTAAATTTGCTTAGTTAACACGCTATACCAACATTCTGTAAAGAAGATCATATGAAAAAGACATGATTGTATTTTCCTGAAGAATTCGTAGAAACCAACTTTTTGTACGGTTTTATTTAAAACGAAAACAAAAACAAGAAACGCAATTGTGATAATTTGTCAGGTATGCTAAGTTACGACGTATTTCACCAAAAATGTTATCAAATCAACTAGAAATACTGTTGTGCGAGGCTGGTCGTCTAAAGAGCAATCTCAAAAGCAATGTATGGTTGCAAAAACCAGCGTCAGTAGCTGCATGTTTTTTCCTCTTATCAGAATCGTAATTCCTGTTCACATTGTTGTAAATTTTGCAGTGGTAAATAGGATTCTTGCAAAACCTTATCTTTATTGCATGATTTAGTTTACGGAATGCTAGCCTTAGAATAAATATTTTAAAGCAAATTTTAAAGTATATGCATACATGTTCGTCGGATTATAGCTGTGATGAACTGTAAATCGCCGTTATCACTTGCAAATAAATGTCAATAATGACTGCACGAATTGTTTTCTTGATCATTTTTAATTTTGCTTTTCATGTATCTAGGATCATGTTAAACCCTTTAATTTAGCCAATTATTGTTAATATAAGCATAAATCACATTTCAAATACTCTTATCATAGGTTATAAAGCATGCAATGTTATTCTCAAGCTGTCGTCGATTTTTATCACATTTAAATTAATATATCTTCTGGATGCATGCTCAACCTGCATGAACAATGCAATAAGAAATTGCATTCATAGGGTTATGAATGAAACGAAGTCAAATTAAATCATCTTACCAGAACCGACTAACATGGGACACCGCTAAGTCGCAAACACTGGAGTAATAACGATGGATTAGGAACTGGCGATACAGCAACTTTAATATTCCATGGTTTCAGGGTTTTTAAAAATGTTATTACGGCTACAAAAAAATAATTTGATATGACGACTACGTTTTGAAAATAAAAATGAGAATGTAGACATGTCAATAATTTTTTTAAAAATTTTACGATGAGACCGGGCCACCATTAACAAGAGAAGGATTTCCATGGCAACCCCTGAAAGGAACATGGAAGTAATACCAGGTGAAAGGTAAGCGTCCTCTGCTTCATTGAGATGCTGCAACATAAATGTCTTGGTGCATTCAAGTACATGTAAGTAATGTGACGTTCCCAAATGAGAACAAATTTAAAGATAACGGCACCACCAAGCATACTACTGATCTGCAAACACTGTCAACTTCATGTCGCACTCTAAAATAAAATATTGCCAGATATGGTAATTATGACGACCGTAAAAGTTCTCCATAATCTTCATCAATCTGCATCTCTAAGGACTATGTGTGAGTTTGTCTATCATTTACCAACATCTTTAACGAAAAGTAGGATTTTGAACTGCGACATGTTTAACCATAGGTAGGGGATGCATGATGATGCTTTACGGCCAAAAAATAGGAATATTGAGTCATCAAGATTACCATCATTGATGTAATTAAAATTAGTATGGCGGTATGACATACAACGTTACATTCGCTGGGCTTCTTTGAATGTCAATTCATTTTACTTAGAAATCAACTTTGATACCTCCTTCTTTCAGTGATTAATCCCAATTTGTCAGATGAGAGAGGATCGACATTCATCACCTTCAATATCTTTAAATATTGTTAACCGAAGAGTGTGACAATATGCATGTATAGTGGTTACAAAAGTGTACACAATTATGTTTAATCATTACTATGTTAGTTTATATCTTCATATAAACACCACTTTATAACCAAAGGACTGAAAACTCACCACATGGGGATTGCCAATAAACGGGTACACAACGAGAATAGTAATCACTCATGGGTGTCAAACACAGATTTCCATAAGCTGTTTTGTCACACATTGATATGTAAAACTGAAGACAAATATTTAACCTGAGAAGCTTGGCTTTTCCTTCGCAAACAAAGGCTGTGTTATAGCATGTAGGTGTAGTGTTCGCTGACGGGGATATACAGGATTATAATATATATTTCTGTATAACGCACTAAGTCAAACCAATTCATAACTGACACAAACAACTTCCGTCTCTTTTGTAAACTGTTGTGATAAAAACAGAGCCTGACTTAGTCGATATTGCTCTCGTGGTGAACTTCTCTTGGTAATTTTGCTATCAATCTTTTGGTATCCCCACGTAATGTAATGGTTAATCGTGTAAGTTTCCAAGTGAAAAATAAAACTAGACTACAAGAAAAATCTAATAGGTAATATTTTCGTTTTATCTTTTGGTCAATGTCAACTGAAATAACCTGACAGTGTATTCTGGAATGATACGAAGGTCGATTGAATGATATAGCAGAACACAGACTACTTCGTTTCATAGCAGTTTTCTTGTAATATAAAAGACCAACTTTAATTTACTGCGGAGTTGTTTCTTGCCTTTGATTGACACATTGGCGCGAGGACATACGCATCTTCTGATTCTTGATACCTCGTAAGTTTAATTGAGTCTGTTATTTCACAGACGCGGCGATTTGTGAGTGACACCTTTGACTGGGGGACAGAGCGCATACTCGTCAAATTGTCACGTGACAGGGATGGGACGGGGTTGTAATTACCTAGAAGCCTCCAGACCTGCCGTCAATACATTCAAGAGGCAAGGACAAGACTCAAAGTTACAATTTTAGTCACAAGACAGGAAGAATACTGAAGGAAATAATGTCAAACAAAAAGGATGAAATGATTTCGGGATAAAATCACTTGAGATGACCATTCGTCTTCCTCATTTCAAGGTTATACTATTGGCATCGCCTCAACAAACGCTTCCTAATAAGTACATATATATATTTTTCATTTTGTTTTGATGTCTTTAGTGGGAGGGTCTTTGGACTGACCTTTTTTTTTGTTTTCATATTTGGTTAAAATCATCGACGTAAGAAAAACTACAATCTGTCGATTTCAACAGTTTCACTTCCTGGTATATCGATTAAATCATATCATATAGGTTGATAAACTAATTCATCAAAAACTCTTTTTGGTCATAAACGATTCTACAGGTTCTTCTACGTTTGCGTCTTTCCCTAACGCTATACCAAGTCAGGACCCCTACAGTACTTTTTACCTTGTAGTTTGTTTATTACGTACTGGTGAGGCAACACAATTCTGTTGATTACCAGATCTGATAAGATCATTATTTTAATTATCAATGTATTGATATTGGAAATTAAAACTAATTTGACGTTCCCAAATTATATATTGTAAACGTGTCATTTTATCAAATTGTCAAACATTCTGACATGTTTAAGAATGCTAAGCAAAGTATGTTTTTGTTGAAGGCTTCGTAGAATAAACATGGTTTATGCTACTCTAGCTGTGATTTGGCATGTTCCATAACCAACCGATCATTCACATATTTATTTTGATGTTCTGTCTCACAACAACGGACAGCGAAACATGATTACAATGCTATGTACTATAATAGACAATAGGATATCCGTGTCAAAAAGGAAAACTACTTGGATTAAAAGAAACAAGAAATGGGATAAAAACGGTTTTCTACATGATTTTTTGTTTGTTTAAAAGAGAACAATCATTTTAACTCAAATTTTCCTACTTATAAGCAATGGAATCACTAATGAAATGCTGAATGAAGGTTAAGTCCACTAGGAGTTATCGCGCTCTCCAGTGACGTAAACAAATCCATTCTCACAATGTTATCGTCAGGACACAAAGAACCACGATAGACTGTCGCCGGGACGGCTCAGTGTGAACATAGTACTATAGTGAACACATGGTTAAATACCCTGAACAGTCGGCTCAGCTTCAGTAACGGCTAGCGCGCCACAGTAGCACACAGTGAGACGTATCACAGAGATCGCGCCAACAGTCGTCGGAGCGGAACACATCTCCGGCGGTAGACCAGCTATACCTAGAGGCTGGGGTGCCCAGTTAATAGACGTATTGATGAGACACAGTATATCAGTGTAAGTAGTCCCGTAAACAGTATAACAGATAACGGACATTCATTTAAAATAGATTATTACGGCGGAGCTGTCAAGTGATACCAGGAGAAGGAAATCTCTGTTGATTTAATGGGAAAAGTTGGTTACTTTGTGTTTGATTGCCACTTGTTCTGGACATTTACAAATATTTGTTCTTTATAGATACGCCGGTTTAAATGACGGATCAGGGACGCACTCGTATTGGTTAAATAGAAATAGATTGCCATCAGCTCAGATACCAAGTATAGATTATTTTGACAAAAATGAAATCACAGTGAGCTTCATGTTGTCAGAGGACGTTGATATTATTTTTCATGGATTGCTTCTTCTCATTTGTGTCAGCTTGAAACTATTTCAACAAGTTTAAAACTAGTGATTGTATAATGCGTATACTGGTTACATGGCTTTATGTGTCATTTGTTTAAACTGTGTATAAAGGAACACTTGTGGATTTGGTTCCCTTCTTGAGGGACAGTTAGGGTCAACAAAGACTCACCCACATTGATTCGTTTTATCCGTTAACTGAACTCTCACATAATGGATATTAAAGTGATACACATATTCGGCTGTGTCGTGAAAACGCAGAATATTCTCCTGTCATGGATATTTCTGAGTGTGATGACAGGTAAGTACAATTCATTTATCATTAAGTACTTTTTACCTTTCCCGAACTGAGATGAAAATATATGTAAACACTTGTTTACTGTGACTTTTTTGAAGTAGTATTTCAGGTTACGGAGGAATTAATTCATACAGATACATTAAGAAAGTCACAGGTGGGTTTAACACCGCTTAGTGTACTACAGCGAATTTGAGATAAATCCTGAATAGATCATTGAAAAGGAGATTAAAGAAACACGTATCAGTGTATTGCAACAGGAATGCATACGGAATTAGGAGACTCTGTCATACGATAAGAGAATACGAGAAGCGATCTCCGACGTTTACACTGGCAGGGTAGATCATGTTAAGTGAACGTATACATACGCGTCAAGTTTAATAAATCGCCGGGGATAAAAAACTAATCCGTATTTCTTTTTAAAGGGGATAACAAATTCTCCGCTGTCGAGATAATGTTGTCAACATATATATTTGTTTTGTAGGGCAAATACCTAAGTACTGGGCTGACTGGCAAGATAAAACACATGGGAATATGTTCTAGGTTAACATAGTACATATATACCAATATGCCCGAGACCATATCCATACAATGGCATTTCGTCGTCAAATTATTATTATTAATATTGTTTCATTTGCAATCAAAGTCAGTAAAGGGAATGATCAGTTGTTTAAATAGACCATAAATTTAAAAAAGAACTATATTTCGATGTTTAGATTGCGGAAATAGAAGTAGAACTGGTTAAAATATTCCTGTGCACCATACCAGCGAGAGAAATAGCCAGTGCCAACTTTTGTATATATATAGGGAAAGGCAAAAATAGCACCAAAGTACGAACACAAGAAGCTGAATTTAATTCAATTTAGAATTCAATGAAGGGATTTAGCAGCTTAATATATGTTTTACAACACTAATGTCTGGGTCATCAACAATAAAACACAATTGTGCCGTCAATGCTGGGAAGCCACGACTCGGAAATATCTAAACTCAAATAAACACATTGAATTAAATAAACTCACATTTACGATACATAAGTACGTTTTCGCAATTAACAACATCCTCATGACTGACTATTCAATATTTAGTAGAGGAAGCTTTTTTTCCTCATAAAATCTAGAAATGTTGATACATTTTTTTTCTAGAAAGTGGCATTTTCATAATGTTCTACTCACAGATAGTGTCTGTCATGTAATACTTGAAGATAAAAGAATCACAGCTGGTCACTGGTACCACAGCATGGTAGTTCTACAATGGAGAGGAACATACGTCCTCGTTATCATCAAGCAGTGGGTACTTTCCTCTTACAAAAACTAAGACCTACACAAAGACTAGGACACAACTAAACACAAATCCTATATTGTACGCGCAGTTCGTTGATTGATAAACGGTTGCTGTTATCAAACATATGTTTGTAAGACTGTCACTGAGCATTAATTGGACCATTACTTCTGGTGGGGGTATATTTACAGTTACCTTTTTTCGTTAGTACTTGATGTAGACTATTGAATCTGGAGACAGAAGTGTACCACTTCGTTAGAAACAAGTTGATGTGGTGTCGTTATCGCTATGAATGGTTTATTCTGATTAAGAATGTAGGCTATGACTTACACAGCCCTATAGATCATACCGTGGTCAGGCGATGAGCTACTTATCATAAAGAGAAAAAGACAGCACCTTATCAACATCAAGTATAAAATTCAATGGAGTTTATCACCGTTCCGCGACGTATTGATGATTTCATAAAGAACAGTACATGGTTTCTTGCCACATACTTAAGTTACTGGACTAGATCTCGTGATAAAACCAATGATAAGAAAAACTGCATGGTAGTGGTGTAATTAACAGCGTTATCTTCACTTGTCATCAAAGTTTTCACAGTCTATATATGACCTTAGCTTTTGTGAGAACATAAAACCACATCCATCTTGTATCTAATCCATGAACACATCTGTTCAGAATACGATTTCAAGGGTTTTGTTTTGACATGGAACATTCTAATTGATCCTTCACCAATTTTTATTAATTTGGAGTTTTGCTGACCTTCACAGTACAAGTTAACAAGTGCACACTATTAACATATAATAACATTTCTACACGACTGGATGCACAGATAGCGACGACATGGTATAATCATCAGAATATATGCTCGTTTTCAAAAATGGATCAAAGACTTGTCTGTTTAATTATTAATGTACAATCAACAATATATAATCGAATAGATGTTCGATAAGATAGCTGATGACTTTACGTGTATACAAATCGATTTTTATATCGTTCATCCCATCAAAGACAGCATAGTGCTACTAATAACGCTGCATATACGTGTATTAGACAAACAGCGGGATCAACTCAGGCAGGATGCATTGCATTCTAATTAGCAGAGAAGCAAATAAACAAAGGCACTTGGTGTTTTGGGTTTGAGGCAGTCTACTCCTTCCTCAGAAACAAAGGAATTCAATACGATTACGTAAAAAGGACAATAAAAGAAATAGTGCAATCCACCTCTTTCAGAAAGGCTTACACGTGAGTAAATGGCAACATGCAAGTCCTTTCCAGTGCATCATTTGCCCATGCAGCTGTATCTGAATATCTTGACTAGTTATTTTTGCAACTCAAACATTGCTTTTTTGTACGATTGAAACAGTAAAGCACTGTGCAGATTTCAATAACGATTCTATACGGATTAGACATCTTTCATCAATAAATTTACTATAGTTGGCGAGTTGTACACCGGTGCTTTGTCCAGATCATCCACCTTATAAAAACACAAAATATTTGCGGTTATATAAAGAAGTAACTATTTTCCCAAATAAAAGTTTTTTCATATATACATTTACGTTTACGATATCAAACTTTAATCTTGAAGAATTAACATAAACTCGAGCCTTCCTGAACGCTTACGTATCATCGTCCATTCAAACCACTGTGTACTATCTCTGATGATGTGTTGATATAAAATTTGTGTTCACATATGAAAGATGATATTTATAGCGATTATATTGCATTGCGGAGAATCGGTTAAACCTAAAATTGGCAAACATCATAACAAACATTTCGTTATTATGATTTATGCGACGTAATTTACCATTCATCTTAAGTAAGGAATACAACTGCACCATATATGTCCCATCGTTCAGTGATTCGGAATGGAAATCAAAATAGGTCTATGTATTAATAAGCGATAATACACAAATATCTATATAATTTTAACATTTAACATAATCAACTAAATGAAACACACAATATCCTTGACTCCTTCGTCAATACCATAAATTTCGAAAATAAGACGAGGCTTATTTCCTAAAGTATCAAGCAAATACCGGTTTATTTATGTTAGAAACCACAGGCTTATTTTCAGTATAGTGTTATTTTTGACATCGGTTTATTTCGAGATTTGTAATCGCATCCAAATTGCGAGTCATACTACAGTTGATCACAACTTATCGAGAACGAAAAGTTCATACAGTTTGGGAAATTAATTTGAACAAATTTGAATTCAAGAGAAGAAAGTTCGGGTAAGATTTTTCACCAAGTTGTATCTTATCTCTTCAAAATGTATGTAAGTTATATATATATATATCGCAATGTAAAGTGAGTTTAATGTACAACACAAAAACAACAAAAAGAATCTGCCCTTAACTTAAATCAAACTGCATACAGTGCTTCTCCACCTAGTGTGAACAAGAAATCAAAACAACTAGGTACGGTATAAAATGTAACAAACCAATCATGTAACCAGGAACTACATCAACACCGTAACAATTGTTACGTGTAATTGACTTTCAGAAAAAAGGAAGAGGCTATTTAATTGTAGGAAACAATGTTGAAGTCTTTAGTTTTATATTTCATATATATACACGTATATATATATATTTGAAAAGAATATAAATCAAAACGACAAATGTCTGCATTTATTATAATGCCTTGGTAACGACAAAGACCAAGGTGTATATATATATATATATATATATATACATATATGAATAGAACATATATATGTGTGCGTGTGGTCTTTCCATTAGGATGGTTTCTTTTCTTAATCAGTGATAAACACCTATATGAACGTAGTGCATTTGTACAATATAGGCAAAAATATTAAGTATATATTACAAACAATTCCGGATGATGAAATATTGTTTATTATAATTGGTGATGACAGAGTTATTAGACGCAGGAGTAACAGCGGGGTTTGGTTATTTTCTATTTATTAACGTCCTATCAGCACAAATAATGTTTTCATATGAAATTTAGATGTTAATCGACGACATATTTGTTTGACTTAAATGTTATTTTCCAGTCCTCTGTAGTGCATATTAGTTGGCACCGTTAACTGTGATATATGCTATGATATTATCTCAACACAATAACCAAGTCTCAGAAATAAATACATGTATATATTATGTAATTTACTAATTAGTTTGTTGCAACTTCAGAAGCGGGATAACAGATTGAAATCAAACACACCATTTGGCTTTAATAGATTAAACGACGGGGCATGTTAACGAGTAGTTTATGTGTTTGAAATTAAGTGTAATGTTGTAAGTTCTTCAACGTAACACGTTCAGCGGTATTTATTGACAGATTCATTTTGCTTTTATTTTGTTGCACGTTCTATATGAAGTTACGTATGTACCTTTTGATAGCGCGGATCTAATACCGACTTTATAATGCCGAAGCTTACTGTTGAAGACTCCCTGCAGACCATACCATCCGATCGCATTACACTACCACAATGTCTAGTATCTATAGACTCTAGCATATCTTGGCCAGGGGACAGAACCCAAATCGCCTTTCTTGGAGAGACGGTAGCTTAAATAAAGGCAAAAAGTGAGAAGCAGAGTCAAGGTAGATATTAGGATTGGAAGACATAGTTGTTAAGATAGGAGAAAAAATATCAAATTAGAAACCCCGATGCCTTCAACAACCACGAGAAGATGGTAGCAAGTACAATACTTTCACCCTACAAGCAGGCCAATTTTGTCAATGTGTCCTTTCCCGTCAGTTTT